CGTTCGCTAACAAGCCAGAATACAAAAATTGTTGTTGATACGCACAATCTTATGAAACTAGCTGGTTTCGATTTTCCATCCATCAAGGAAGCTGACGCAATGTTCTCCGCTCAGGTAGCTCCTGACTGGCATGATGGCTCCGAGTGCTTCCGGTAATATTCTTCCAATAAACATAAATAACTCTTAGAAACCAAGAACATTGCAGCTGCCGATCCGAATTTTCGCTTTTCAATCGTAAACACCACTGCCGCGCTTGTGGTCAAATCTTCTGTGATCGCTGCAGCACCAAGGAAATTCCTTTGCCACAGTTTGGAATTGAAAAAGAGGTTGTGTTAGCTCATACCCTTTTCGACAGAGGAGCTCAACACATTTACTTCAGGTTCGCGTGTGCGATGCATGTTTCGAGAAGATTTCATCCAAAACGAGTGAAACAAAAGTAGTTAAGGTACTCGCTGGTTTCCTCTTTTTTCCCTAACTTTCACGTGATGGTATGTAATATTTTTTAAGAGTGAGCCATTAGCTTCTACTTCGGTGAAAGAAGATATCTCACAAGCTGAAAAGGAGAAGCTATTGAAGGAAAAGGAGGAGGAAGATCTGGCATTGGCTCTTGCTATAAGTCAAAGTGAAGGCAGAAGCGAAGGTAGTGTTCTTGAACTTGCCCGGCAGTTTTCCTTCTTGATTTACAAGGATTCACTTGTGCTTATTTCGTAAAACTCTAGTGATAGAATGTTCTAAGTTGAAGGTTTTGATAATTCAGGAGCAGGAGCGGCAAAAATCCTTGTACGCAATATACAACGGTGATACTACGGGCGCATCCGCAGTTAACGTAAGTCTGCCAATAATTTAGTGAGAAATTTATTCATTTTGAAGCATTTCTTTCTTTTTCTTCTACCCGAGTACTTGCGAAGAAGGTGATTTTTTGCAATGCTTGCAATGCAATGCAATGCAATCAAGGTATGGAATGATCTAGTCCTCACATATCTGATAATGTGACGCCACTGAGAATTAAGGGCTAGTGTCGAGGGGACGAATCACTGTTCAAATTTAATATGCAGGGTCACGACGGGTTGCTTGCTTATATGTGTAGGCAATGGCGCCATCACTGTTGGACCAGTACTTAGAGCTCCAAACAAAATCACCAGTCATTGTATTCCATCGATGCGACCCAAGGCTCCTAGTCCTTGGGCAAGCCTTTCTCAAAATTTCACATTTCAAAGTTCTTTCAGTTTTCTCGCCATTTCAAGAAGTAACGATATGGTTGCAGTCGGGTCTTTATGATTTACTCATGGAGGTTGAGATTGGGACGAAACATCGCTGATGGGCAAATTACGTTTTTGAGGGCTGGTGTCAAAGATTGAGCAAGGTCGGGCGAACTTTTTCCACCACTGGTCAGGCATTCGTCTTGGTGAACCGTCGCTCTGTTAACTAGAGGGGAGTATTTGCCTACACCAAGAGCACTCATGGAAACATTTTGCTACCAACAAGACCACTCTGAATCGTCAGAATCAGGAATCGGAACAAACAGAAAAATCATTAAGTCTGTGTTCAGGGATCGTCAATTCGGAGAGTGACACCTTTACTGTTTTCTACTTTTTTATGATGGTTTAAGTCATTTTGGGTGAGATTGGCAATGTGCTCGGGAAGGGTGCGCATAGGTCTCTTACCTTATCTATGAGGTTTTGAAACGATTTTGACCGTTGCAGTTGTTTTATGTATCTTCTCCTCCTGTATGGCTTTTCTGTGAATTTTGTGAAAAGGAAGGCGGTTGAGTAGTTGGAGGTAGAACGACTGTGTAGGGAGCTTTCAACTGTTTAGATTGGCTCTGGCTGTAGGATGGTTTAGGAAGGGGAGCATTGCATGATCCGAAAATTTCATTTATGGCACAGCACACTTTGAGGTGCTGTGCTGCTCCATGCGCTATAAACACTTCTGCTTTTGTTAAGCTTGTGTAAATTGTGCTGTCACGGAGCCTCATGTCGATCTGAATGTTTGAAAGTCTCAAAGTGTATAATCATTCAGACTTTTCCTCTTGTTAAAAATGACGTTCTTTTTTTCTGTGTCCAGTGAGGCCCAAACGGACGTACAAAAGCGGCAGTGATTATAAATCACACTGAAATTAGAAAATACTTAAGCACATGTGAACGCTTAATGGAAAGACGACCTTATTACTTTGCACAAATCAAGACAATACTTCGTAGTTAACTGGTGCACAACTTTTTTGTGTGCAGCTCATGCCAACGGCTGAGGCTGTCTTGGATTCAGTGTCACTAATTTGTTGTTAAAAGTAGTATCTCGTACAGGCTCTCAAACAACAAACGAAAATTTTCCGTGTGGTTGAATGCACTTCTTTGAGTGGACACACGAATATTTCACAACTCGTTTTCTTGAGTTCTCTTGTCATTGCCTTTTTGCATGTCCTTTGTCTTCGTTTTGTATGGTCGAATACAAGTTGATCTCACTCGATCAAGTACTAATTTCTTGAAGTCTTGGTAATCAACTAAGATAATGAAAGTGGCACTATTATATGGCAAAGCCATGGTTTCTTTCAATGCTGTTAGTACATCCTTTTCTGTGAAGCTGATTTCATTCACGTTCTTGCCTAGTTTAGGATGCAGCCTCGTTATCGTCGTACAACCCATCCGAAATGGGCTATAAAGGAGCTGCGCCCAGCATCGCTGAATCGCCATCCGATAATCTTGCTGTGGATGACCCTCTCGCTAGGTATTGCAAAACTACTTAATATTTTCGTTCAAGCTGTGTGTGGATTCTTTGCCATTTGAACGCGAAGTACAGAATGGCATTACTTATAGTGTAAATTGCTATTCATGATCTAATCACTGCGTGTTTAGATATCTCAATAGGGACTACTGGCAACAGC